TGTATTGGACGGCCATTTGTGGTTCTTGACATTGCTTATGGGCTATGTTGTTTCACATCTGCATCCTTTTAATAGTTGCACACCTGTGGGAAATTGTGGCTACAGAATTCACTGTGCTCAACAACTACCTACTTGGTGAGATGGATGGCCCCTTCCCACAATGGTTCTAGTTAGACTGTGTTACTTCAGCAACTTTGTATTACAAAAGGTAGTAGGTGCAGTGCAATTCAGGATGTATTACATTCATCTAATTGATCTCACTTTAGTATTTCTTAGTTTCAAGATATTCTTTGTGAGTAATGATGAAATGGTGGTATGTTACTTACAATGAATGGGATTCACAACCCCTGGTGATATGTTACGTTCTCACTGTTTATTCAGTTCATTTAGGAAAGTTGCTCAAGCACTCTGGGAAATTGGCTAGCCACTTCTTTTAATTTGTTGCCTCAATGTGAGTGAATATGAAATTGGATGATCATCATTCTAGCTTGGTGTAGCGGCTATGGTTTGATTTTTTTATGGTGATGGATGAATATCTAACCTGCAGTCATTTTATTTCCCTAAAATCTTTCTGGTAAATAAATGAGTTTTGTATTTAATTTGGCAATCTCTGGCATACTGATGTTGCAGCATTTCAGTGGTTTTGCTTCTTCTTTATATAAAATTAATGAGTTTTGTATTTAATTTGCCAATTGTGGAGCAGCTTGAATGGCCACAGAACTTTGTTGTCGGCAACCGTTGCCTCCACATTTTGGTACGTAGATTTTTTTTATTTTCTATAATTGCAGGACAATGAGCTCCAACTATTCAGGGAAGTCCGAGCAAGTTATGTGCTGCTGCGGAATGTCGTTCTTGTTACTCGCGTCACTCCGGCAACATAGCTACGGGTGAAAATTCTATAGGTGTCTGAGGTGGAAACACTAACCAGACGACTGTGGCTTCTTCAGGTGGGCGGACAGCCCTTCAGATTCTTTGTTATCCCAATTGGACAATGTTGCACAGGCTTCGACGGTGTCACAATCGGAAGTGTTTCCCAACCGCATAATGTGCTCGGGGTTAGATCATGCACCAACCGAGCAACGGTTCTCATAAGATGTTACTTTTGCATTTTAAATTGAATGTTATATTCATATTACTAATTGTAGTTTCAATATGTATTTTAGTTTTAATTTAGTATCTTGAATACTATTTTAAGTAAAATGAGCATCAAAATTTTGTACTGTTATAAAATCATAAATCTAACATGCAACAAATATATATAAATAAATAAATATAAATATATATATATGTGTGTGTGTGTGTCTGTACTTTGTGTTAATTGTGTAATAAAATTAGGGTTATAAGAAGTTCTTTACTTCGGTTTCTTCAGCTCCTACATAATTTCTTTTGTTTGACTTTATTTTCTTCTTATTCTCTCTCTCTGAAAAGACTTTTTTGTTTCACCTACATTTTAATGTTCCTATAATATTAAAAAAAATTATATTACACGACAAAATATTAATACTAACGTTTTTAAAATATAGCACGGCTTTTCAAATATATGTAAATTTATATAAATATAAAAATTAAATTTTATTTGTTATATAGGATGCAATTAAAAAAATGATTCATTTCGCTTATATATTTTAAGTGTGGCGGCATATAACTTTGTTAATAATGCAAATTTCAATTAATTTATTTTAAAATTAGTGCAAAATGTAAATTATTGATTATAATTTATATTACACATAAATTAAAACTAATTTTTTAAAAATTAAAATTTATAATGTCAGAATGATTTGTTATCTACAAAAAACTGCAATTCAGTTGTTTTCTAAACGCACAAATCAAACAGCTAAATAGCTTATCTAGAATAGGAGTAAAATGAACATTTATCCAGAATCAGATATTTTCCAAACGCATAAACCAAACAGTCATACGGCTTATCCGGATCAGCTGCCGATCAACAGATTATCAAGAAAAGTTACTTATCTGGATAAGCTCGATAAGTTGCAGCTGCCCCACACAGACCCTCAAATGAGCAACTTATTCTGATAATATGTTGATCAACAGCTTATACTGGTAAGCTGGCTGGCTGTTTGGTTTGTGCATTTGGAAAACAGTTGTTCCTGGATTAATGATCATTCTATCCCTATTTTGGATAAATTGTTTAGTTGTTTGGTTTCTGTGTTTAGAAAACAATTGATTTACTATTTTTTCTAAATAAATGATCATTTCGACATGCAACAGTTGTATTGTTTGCAACAGAACTGCAATGGCTACACATTTGATATTTCATAACCAATAAAACCACTTCATAATAGTAAAAAAAAGATATATACATCTCACTTAAGAGTGAGTATCAAGGAATCGAATAAAAAAGAAAAAACATATTAAAATTATAATTAAAAGTATAATAATATTCATTTTAAAGTGCAGAAGAAGCATGTCACGAGCAACGTCGTCCAGTTGGAATGTCGATGAATCCCGAATAACATAGTCAGCTTGCGATACCATCGAACCTCGTTCACTACCAGCAGTAGAATCGGTCGGATTATCTACCCACCTGAAGAACTCACACATGTCCGAACCAACTGCTCATCACGGGCACCTGTAGAACTGTCGCCCGTAACTATGGGACCGGCGTGACATGAGTAACAAAGACGACAGCCTGCAGTGGCATAGCACTCGCCTTGAGTTCCTTGAAATTTTGGATTTCATCTTATTACAATTATTCAAGGGAGAACACGCCAGTCATAAAATTAGATGAAATGAAAAGGAGCTCTACTTCGCAAAAAAAACCAGGCCAGCCAACATGTTCCCCAGTTAAAACGGTACATCAAGCCAAAGAGACCCAATAAAAATGACAATTCCTCCATATTCTTCGCAGAATGTTTGTCAATACTCACACAAAACGAGGAAACCAAGCCAAAGAATCAAAAATTTCAATCCTTCGATTTGCTTGAAAGAATGTTTGCTACTACTCACACAAAACCAATTCATGAAAAACACCACAACAGTTACAGAGAATCACCTTACTAGATCGCATAGAGGAGAAAAGAGAAGAAGGCCTTATCGAATTGCAGAGACGAGAAAGAGAAGGAGAATCGTAGAAGAGAGATCTAGGGGATGAGAGTAGAGAAGACAAACCTAAGGCACGGGATGAGGATCGTAGAGAGGAAGAAGGAGGACCGCAGCAGATAAATCCAGGAATTGCAGAAGAATCGTAGCTAGGGCACGGATGTCATGGGGGTAATATCGTGAAAGGCAAACAGATACTCGGGCAGCGGGCATCGATCGGCGGTCGGCGTCTAATAGAATAAGATATGCATGTATCCTCAAATGCACGCCAACCGGACGAAACAAACATCCTCGGTGCGTTTTGAAAACACATAAGCAGCAAATAAGCTACCCCTAACGATCCCTAAGCAAGAAAGACATAAAAGAATGCGAGTAGCGTCAAATCCCAATTCAAAGTGGATGCAAATTTTAATAATTTTAATAATGCACTTAATGTTTTTATAAAAAAATTAATTTATCTTCCAATAATTTAGAGCAAATTATTCTCTTAAAAATAGTGATACTAATTTTTTAAAAAAATGTTCACTAATATTTTAATAAGATTAAGATTTTTTTTTCTTTTTAATACTTCAAATGACATTAATTACAAAAACATGAATTTTTTTTTTAAGAAAATGTTATTATTATTGATGTTATTATTAATAATCTTGTGATTATTAAGATTCATAATTCTATTTAAAATTTTCTATTTTCATTTTTAGATAAAAATCTATCTTTTACAAAAAAAAATAATTAAATTTTTTTTTTTAAATCATGATATTAATGTAACTAATCAAAAAATCTATTTAGAAAATCTTACTGTTTTATGTATTCTTATTAAAAATTAAAAATCTATTTAGAAAATCTTACTGTTTTATGTATACTTATTAAAAATTAATAATTAGGTTAATTAAAATAAATTAAAACTTTATAACCAAAATTTATATTATTCTATTATGCAAGATAAGACCTTCCCCATCTCTCTCTCTCTCTCTCTCTCTCTCTCTCTCTCTCACACATACACACACACACACACAACACACACACACACACACACATTAGAAAATTTTCACAAAAACAATGGGCTAAGAAGTATGCCAGGTGCACAGTCCCCCAATTCACCGCCGCTCTTTCATGGAGGAAGATAAATAAGAGGGAGAAAGACTGCAACAACACTTCAATTTGGCCTATTTACAAAAGATTTTGATAAAAAAATAGTTTAATCATTACGGCTTCTAAAAGATTCTAATGGTAATCATCATCGAAAACATAGTAAACTACCCAGCATGATGAGCAAGCCAAAAGAACAATATTTTCACAAAATGTTTACTTCATAAATGTACATGAACTTTGCCTCTAATTCTCATATCCACGAGCTAAAATTGTGACTCACTGGTGTAGTAAAGTTTAAAGATTCATTTTTGATACAATGTAAGATGAGATAGGCCAAACCTAACATGCTTAGAAATTGTTAAAAAGTGATTATACTAGATAGGGTTAACATTTTGTGTACCTCGATGAAAAAAAATGGAGAAAAACCTTATAAAGTTTAACCAAATATTCATGCAAGTGATTCATGCAAACCACCACAATGTTCTAAGTTAATGTTTTGTAACCATATTATGGATATAACAAAAACAGGAGTTGGTGGATGAGCTTGAAAATGAAAGAATTGTAAGTTCTAGAATTAACATCTTTGGACACTTGTCAAGCATAACATGGAGGTTGATTAAAGCACCATTGATTAAATATATTCGTAGAATGAAGGTAACATGAACGGAAAAGATATTATGTATCTCATTTTAAAATGATATTTATGTCGCTTAAATCTAAAGCTCCATTTTATTGGCTATTATACATCAAACATGTGTCGAGAAATACATGAAAATAAAGTTAGATGGAAATCAATTTATAAAATTAAGTACAAGAAAACAATGAGGGAACTAGAACAGAAAATGTACCAGATAGCAGCTAATTGATCTGAACGAGAATCTTCGATGGCACCAATGCTCTCTTATAAAATCCTAGTCGTTGGATGGTTAGACAACCAAAATGAAGGCCATTCATTCATAGTTGAATGCATTTCCTAAGGAAAATTAGGATTGCAAGTGGTTAGACAAAATGAGGAAAAACCTTCAAGTTGATTAAGGACGACAACTAAATGAAAATATAAGAAATTATCAGCAAATGCCAAGCTGCAACTCTAAGGTGCTATTTGGTTGCAAGGCTTAGCTTGAACTCAGAATAAATATTGCAAAAAAAAACTTGTGTCATATAAACCATGTTTTCTTCTTAAATCTCACTTTCCTCCCATTTTAGATTAAATCCTGGATTTAGTAAATTGTGGTGAAAGTAAGATATAAGAAATTTACTAATTGTGCCTATTTTTTCCCTTATTTAAATCATAAATCATGAAAAAATCTATCAAATTGTTGAATAAGATGTACTCAAATATAAAATCTATCATGTCAAACAAATTTGAAAAGATAAGAGTCACTGAATCGTACTCGAATTAAAAATGCTTGTAGCCAAAAAGCCCGTAAATTAAAATGAGGGAAGGCAGTAAAAATTTTTAACAAATCGATAATTAAATGTTTACTCAAACTCTATAAACCGAAGAAATTGGTTTATTAACCTTTTTTTTTCCACTGCAGTAAGACCCTTAATTAATTTGAACTTCTGGTTCATGCTTTACTGTGGCCCATGAACATGGACTAATATCTGAAAGTAAACATAAGATCAACCTGGAGCCAAATTCTCATTACAAAAACTTACCTAGCAGTAAAATGATTACCATTCATAGGTTTAAGCCAGAAATAATTTATTTCAAGTTTTGAGTCGTGCCATACCAACAACTCCAATAGTCAAAACATGGTGTGCAACTGGTACAAATAATGCAAATGCAGATCATGCCAACCATTTAAGATGTAATATAACATAAACAGGTAAACAGAAAACCTTGCAAAGTTGCAAACTGCGTGACGCTAACATTTTGGCCTTCTTCCTATGAGGGTTCTTGTTGCAGAGTTAAGTAAGAATTCAACAGCAGAAGTGATTTATTAACTCTTCAACTGTAAGAAACCACTTACACATTCTCTATAGTAGATTCGCCTGCTACGAATAACCAAGCAAAGCCGGGTCATCAAAATCACTAATTGTGATAAAACTCTTCAGATGAGGCAACCTCAGATTCCTCGGAGATACTAAATCTCCAGCGAATCTCAGGCCTGCCCACATTCATCATGGCAGCATACTTTTCCCTGATACCGACCAACGGATGCTTTCTTAGGAGCTCTCTCCCTCCGCCATAGGCCTCCCGTAGAACAACTGTATGCACGCCCAGCTTCTGAGACAAGTAAAAGATTCCGGGGTGTCGCTCGAACACTTTAGTAAACTTCTGGGGCAATCGTAGTGGTTTCCTTAGATTGCTCAAATTGCTCCGCTCGGTCTTCTTCCCTATAGTGAGATGAAGAAGTTCGTGAAACAACCCCACGATCCTCTTCTCGGAAACGTCGGTACGGGGGTCGAGGCCCGACGGATCGGCATACGGGCTAGTATACGGAAGCGTCTGCCATTCTTGTAGCCACATCATGCACTTGCGCCTGAGACAGAAACCCCTGGTGAAGCTTACCGGAAACGCCAACGAATCGCCGTTAAATCCACCGTTAGTGCTGCTCCTCTGTAGCTCGGAGACAGCAAGGACGGGATCCCATGACGAAAGCTTAAGCCAGACGCGCTCATCTTCATCAGGCCGGACAAAATCAAAGAAATGCGGATAGCGGTGTAGAATTTTCTCTTGGTATTCCGAAGGCAACCCAATGTCCCAACGAAGCTGGTCGACGGTATGGAGTGGAAGCGATAAATTGACAGTAAGCATGAGAAGACGGCGAAGGCGGTCGACAATTTCACGCTCACTGTTGCGGAGGACACTGAGTTCGAGCTCCCGGAGCTTGAGTGCGTCGTCGGTGAGGTAGATCCAAGGGGAAGATGGACCGATAGAATGGGCAGACGATCTGCGGAAGAGGGCCGGAAAGCGGAGCAAGAAATCTGAGGGAAGAAGACTGAGCTTTCCGAGATGGAGAGGCCGGCTTGGGAGGTCATTGGCGGGGACGCCGCCGCGAGGGTCGGTGGAAATTAGCTCGAGGAGGCGGTGGACTTGACGGAGATGGCGCTCGCGAGCCACTACCGAGTCGAGGGCGCGATCCTTCACCCACTTGAGCTTGACATTAACCAGCGTCGCTCGCTGCTCAGCCGAAAAGAGCAAACCCTGCCGTCGCCGGCGAAGTAAGCGGCGGGTTTGCGCGATCCCCCACACCATCTATTTCGTCTGTAGGCTCCCTGCACAGAAAAAAAATTCTTAGTGCACAACGCAGCGCCCGGACATTTGGGAGCAGATTTATCGAGTTTATTATCTAGCTTGTACTCATAAAACTACTAATAGCAAGCAGCTGATGGATAAATTGTGTTTTATTTGGGTGTTTGAGAAATAATTTATTTGCAGTTGTTTATAAATAAATTATAATTATATTTCTGAACTGAATAAATTTTTTATTTGTTTGATTTGTGCATTTAAGAAATAGCTAATTTATAGCTATTTCTAGATAAAAAAATTGTTAATTGTGAATCATAAATCAAACTCAAGTAGCAAGACAAAGCTGCAAGGCTATGAATTTTCCAAATAGGATTCATGAAATAAACAAGCTTCATTCCCATCACAAATTATAGATTGCAATATGTATACATACATATATTTTTTAAAGGACCCAAATATCGATTTCTCATTGCGTATCAAGGCCCCATGATGAGAGCCTGCATCATGTGCTTAATTATTCGATCTCACCCCATGGGGGATCGAACCCGTGAACTGAAGGGACTTACAATGAACTCCGCCAACCAACAGGACTTGTGACACATGTATATATATATATATATATATATATATATATATATATATATATATATATATATATATATATATATAATATATATATGTGTAAATTTTCAAGTGCAATTCAAGTAAAAAAAAAGCTAGTTTGATTGCAAGTGCAGCCCCCTCAAGCAAAATAAAATGTAGGTGCAATAACAATAATGGGTCGTATGGCCAATCCAAGCCAACAGAAATAATATACATATCTTACATCATTCTAATCCAAAATCCAAACAAATCGCAAATCAGGAGGAATTGGAGAAGGAGAAGGAGAGAAGGGGTGAAGGACCATATTGAAATGCCAAACTTATTCAAAAATCCAAAATGATGCATAAGGCAAAAAATACGACGAAATCCAAATCAGTCGAAGGAACACCTACCACGAAAATCATTCCATCCATACGAAAATCATTCCATACTTACAGATTTATCGTTAGGAGAGAACGGAGATAGGAGAATGAGTGAGAGGACTAGAGACGAAGGAGCAAGGAGAAGAGACGAGAACGAGAGAATCAGAGGAGGATTACTTTGGGGTTGATAAGACGAGAAATCAAGGACAGGTGGGTAATAATCAGCGAACAAATGCGGGCCGCAAAATCGATCCCACGATCGCGTTTATTAATGAAAAAACCGACGTTTGCAAAACGCGCGCCTGAATGCCCTAAACAAACGGGGTATGTGGCATTTTCAAAACGCCGCCTCAGGCAATAAGCTGCCCCAAATGCACCCTTAAATCGGGATTTAACCTGCTAAGGTGATGTTTTGGTGCAGTCTGATTTAAGTTAATAAAACGAGTGAGAAACATGACTTTAAAGTAGGTAGGATTTAAAGTTATAGATGTATCTAATTGGAATCTAGGATTGTTTACCTATAAATCACTTAAATAATTATAAATAAAAAAACATCTAAATTTTAAATATTTCAAAATAACCACCCAAAACTTAAAACCCTTCTTTTAGCCACCAAAGGACCCTTCCATCTCCCTCTAGTGTCTCAGTCATCTCTGATCACACTCCGTTAGTGGTCTTACATAGTGTTGTCTCCTTCCCGCGCACATTCTCCATGCGAGTAACATTCGTCTCCCTCCATCCTCCTCCTACATTCTCCCGCACAGCAGGTCTACTCAAAATCCAGCCCGTTCAACTCACTTCGACAGTGATTCTTGCTCATAATAAGTTATCCCCCAAGAAAAAAAAAATTAAAACCCTTCTTTTTAGCCACCAAAGGACCCTTCCATCTCTCTCTCGTGTCTCTGTCATCTATGATCACACTCCGTTAGTGGTCTTACATAGTGTCGTCTCCTTCCCACACACACTTTCCTTGCGAGTAACCTTCGTCTCCCTCCATCCTCCTCCTGCCTTCTCCTGTGCAGCAGGTCTGCTCAAAATCCAGCCCGTCTCACTCACTTCGACAGTGATTCTTGCTCATAATAAGTTATGCCCCCCTCCCCCTTACTGGGTCTTTGAAAGGAGGGAAATTATAGGGTGAACCTTTCTGTGTGAACGAAGAGCATAACCCTAGTAAGATTCTGGTAATCTTGTTCTTAGGTGTTTCTTCGAAGGAATGTCTGCTTATCGACGACGCTTATGTATTTGACCCATTAGTGAAACTCCAGATATTCACAAGTGACGAGCGAGTGACGGGGGAATATGGTAATGATACTGTGTTTTACAAGGATAAGTTAAAGTGGTGTTCAATTGCCTTTCTGTCAAGATCTCCAGACAATCCTCAATTCGTATGGAGCGACATTTGCCCAAGTCATGCCATTCTATTATGACTATCATGACTTTTGTGGTTTCATGTCTTCGACTAGCAATTGTCAGTATCTTATCCTACTTCTTCTCATTAATATCATCTAGGAAGGATACATTGTGTGTTTTGGTTGGCCATTCACTTTGCTTGTCCATATTGGAGAATGAAATCAAGGACTAGAAGATGCACTTCTTGTTCAATTTGTTTCATAGTGATTGGGGAATCAATGTTCTCCATGTAATCACCAATGTGAAGAAAAAAAAAGAACTTATAGAGCAACCTCATGGTTTACGAGAAAAAGATCGAGAGGAGGCAATTGTCCACTCATAAATACCTGGAGGGTAAGGTGTTGAATAGGGTTTTATGGCCTAAGAAATTTGGGTGCCTAACTAATGAGCACTGGGAGGCTTTTGAGGCATGAGAGGCTAAGAGGGAAAAAGCGGCCGCTATTAGGGCTTCCAAGAACAACTGAGGGTGAAAGCGGCCTACCCTAAAGTTGTTGCTAATTGTGATTTAATTTTTTGTTGCATTAATAACAAATTCCACGATTCTTAAGTCTAAGATTGTTCATGTCATAGGTACACTAAAGCTGTGAAATTATATTTTTCCATGTATTGCATCACTATCATTGTCCAGGATTTATTGCTTGAGAGTAAAATCTCGTTAAACAAAAAATTAAACCTTATTGAAACCTTCAATGCTCAACACAGTCATTCTAAAAAGATGCCTTGCACGTTGGGGTTGAGTGACAAAGGTGAAGAGATTTTAGGGGAGAGGATAAAGGAGATAAAAACTTATAAGAAAACCAACACCTCCGTTATATATTTGAAGGTAAGGGTGAATCGAGTCAGGCATTCCTCATCTCTCTACACGAGTTAGGATCTGAGATTGGTCAAGGATTTGATTAAGCATTAAGGGTTGTTCTCTAGGGTGTTTAATGTTGATCAGACAACCTATATTGCTATCAGTCATTTTTTTACCGATTAGACGACTTGCATCATTGTCGGATATTTTAAGTATTTTGTATCAATCAGATGACTTGTGCAATTATCCATTTTTTTATTGACGTCCAACTCACGTCTTATACCTCTCGAGTTTTAATCGCTTGGTAGGATCTTCATCTCATGTGGAGTACCCAATGTGAAAAGCTTATTAAGTGAATCTTATCATTGATTTTGTGAGGATAGCTACCGAGACTCAACGCTCGGGTGATTTTCTCATTACCCTTCATGGAGTTTATCGCAGCTTGGTGATCCCGATACTTTTTATCTGTAAGGATTTATGAAGCTGACACCACTACTTGAAGATTTTAATCTCTGGTAATGACACAAAAAACTTGATCCCAAGCAAAGTAAGATTTCAATTATATTTATAAGGATTTTATGCAAGTATACGTATCGTTGTCAAGTAATATAGAGCTTTCTGATTAAGCCCCGAATATCGATCCCACGGAGATCGAGGTTAATCACGGCTGCTTTCTAGAGAAGTTCTAATATAGAATAACACGCCCTAGCTTGGAAGATCGATAAATGTTTGATTTTGATTATATCCTATAATTATCACTATAATAATACTTCTACTCCTAAACTAAAATACTTTGTGAACATCAGAAAGTGGGGCTTAATATATTAAAATTACCCTTCCTCTTGCAATGAAATTAGTGACATGTGTAAAAGTAAAACAAGCAGTGAGAGAGATTATGATAAATAGAAGCAATTATATTCTTTACCCTTACTAGAGATGCTATAAAGAAAATTGGTTAATCTAAAGTTTGACTAGTTCTGAAGATGGGCTAGGCAGGGAAGATACTAGCTTTCACTTTAGAGTTCCCTCTTATCCCTCCACCTGGAGGCTAACATTTCGCATCAAAACCTAAAATAATAGACCAATTTAGGGGGCTCTAGTCTGTCACTCTAAAGTCATCTAATTTTACTCCCATTAAAGATTATTTTTCTATTTATTTGCACTCAACCATATGGACTACATTCTCATCCATACAATCTCATGTGATTCTACCACAGTTGATTGAGACAACACCATCCCAAATCTTACATGTTCTCACACTAAATTTTAACATGTAAGTTGATCAAGTTTAGATGTAAATGAATAACAAAGTAAAACCATCATAATATATTCTTACTCTACTCAATTCTATACCCCACACATGCATATTAATTCATTATAAGAGGGAAGAGTAAAGAAAACTACTCACTACACATGGAGAAACAACAAAAACTTTTCATCGAACAAAATTTTGAAACCATACAAACAAAGTATTAAATTTAAATCAAAATGCAATGAAAATACTTATCTCTGATAGAAATCAAGCTCTCCTTGTTTAGTAAAAGCAATCTCCTTACAATCCTCTCCAATATCAAAGTGAAAAGAAAAGAAGAAATTCTCACACTCTCTCTTTCTCTCTCACATTGTCGCCCCACTTAGGGCTCAGGCCCAAGCCTTATTCTTTTTCTCCAAGTCTTCTTCTCATTTTCAATTAATTCAAGAGTCCAAGAGTTCTTTTAAGAGCATTTCCAAGTCTTATTTATAATTTCCCAAAAGATTCTTAAGTGTATCTTCAAAACTGTTCATATTCATTGAATCTTCCAAATGGTTTCTAAAGTGTCTTTTCAAAACTCCTCATAACCACTCAAAATTATTCTAAAAATTTCATTTTATCATTTCCAATGAATTCCCCAATAGGTGCACAAAGTATCGCTTAAAAAATCGTTCAAATCCGACGTATATTCTAGAAGATATGTTGAAAACCGTCTCCAGTGCCTAAGCGCCGTTTTAAGGTGCTTAAGCTCCCTCCTCCAGTGGCGCCTAAGCGCCATATTTGGGCGCTTAAGCGCAGGGCACATGCACTTAAGTGTCTAGTTTCGGTCCCCATGGCTCCGGTGTGCCCCGTTTTGACCTGATTTGCTCCCTTTTGGTCCATTTTTTTTCATTTTACTCCAATCACTTCAAATTTCTTCAAATTGATGTATCTACAACAAAAAACATAAGAAAATTTATCTTTAAATTGCAATATAATCATAAAATATAACATGAAAAAAGTACATTTGTAGGTTTGTCACTTGGCAGAGAACTACCTCCCGTGTTATATTCAAATCAAATTTGGATATAAGTTTTTCATGTGTCGATGTTACAGGCTATTGGTATATTCCATCGATCGGGCATCTTAGCATCATTGTTGATTTTTGCACTCGGTTTCAAGTTCCATGAATGTTGGCTAGACATTGAAGCACATAAAACTCCCTGAGTTCCTTGAGTTTCGTATGAACCTAAGAGCATGCATATAGTAAGTCAAACTGCACGTAATACTTCTCTTGTAAAAATTTACAAATTAGTAATGAAAGTTCCTTTATTAATTTTTTAGTGTTGGTATAAAATATTGTCTAAGAAAATTTTTTTTTTTCAAATCATCTCTTCTCCACTTCCAAGGAACTCCCTTTTCTGTGTAGGTCTTTCCTTTGTAGAATCATGAGGTGGCCCATTGATTAATGATGAATGGGTTGGTCCACGTCTAGTTTAGCTTGCTGGTCGATTATCTTCGAGTGATTAGATTGAACTTCTTTAACACAGAATCCCAAGGAACAAAGGTCTTCTCTCTAACGCATTTATTGTAGCAGCGAGCAATGTGTCTCTTGACTTCTTTTTGTTGTAGGGCTAAGTTAGTTAGGTTCTCTTTTTTTAAGTTAGGTATGAGCATTGCACTTTTATTATTTACATATTGTCAGTTAACTACATTATCTTTGTCAAAGCTGAGGTCATCATTACGCGCTAGCTATGGTGGTTTCATTAGAGATGAAACATTGTCTCCATTATGTGAGACAACATGAATGTAGTATGTCTGTCACTATTGATGACATCATGAGGGTTGCCCAGAGAATCTATGGAAGGATCTTCGCCTAGTTCCCTATTGCACCTTTTACTTTCTTTTTTAGCTTGTTCAGGATAATCTTAATGACAACTTCTACTTGACTGTTAATTTGGTAGTGATGCACTGATGTAAGCTTTAGATTAATCCTTTGACTTTGTTAGAAGTCATTTTCATCTTAGTATGTGAATTGTGTCTCATTGTTAATGCTGATGACCAAGGGTAACTCGACTGACAAGTGAGGTTCATCCAGATGAAGTTTCATACGACCTTTGTTATTATTAATGAGAGCCATGTTGTTGGTTCGTTTTAAAAGCTGGCAACTCTGACGAATCAACAACATATATATATATATATTATATTTATAATTATTTTGCTAACATATTGATTAAATGTTAATTTATAAACAATTAAACAAACTTAAATAAAATAAAATTAAAGGTACCAAACCTTCTTCCTTCCTCTCCCGCTCGAAACCCTGTCGCCGTCCCTCCTCTTCTCCCGGTTTCGCTCAAATCTATCGTTTTCGTGACCGGAAAGCTCCCAACACAGTAGCGGTTGAATCTAGCCGGGAAGGCAATGACAGCATCGCGTCTTACAAAGACTCTGAAGCTCTCATATCTGTCTTCCTTCCGGTCCGCTCCTACCAGCAACCATTGAGGAGGAAGGTAACCCTCGTCTTTCTCCCCCTTCCTCCCTCTCTCTCTCTATTCCTCCGCGCGCTTTAGCTTCTATAAATCCCGTATATCCGCCTTCCAACGGGATTTACTAAATCCTGAATTCAAGGCAAAAGGGAGGAAAAATGGGATTTAAGAACCCATAGGATTCACCAAGCAGCCCTATAAAAGGCTCAAATTTTGATTTTAATGTATTAGAGGAGAGTTGGAAGAGAGAATGGAGACGGTGGAGGAGAAGAGGGAGATTGGACCAGATGAGGGTTTAGGACATCCAATTCAAACCTCATACAGATTCAAACTCACTGAAATATTAAAGAACCTACACTCTCCCGAACTAGTCATTTACTCTGATTCTTCAAAAGAATTTATTTATTTGTTAAGAGGCCATTCTGGTGGGGAAGTTCTATGTGAATATGTTCAGCTGTCCCCCAAGTGTACAGAGATTTTGGAAGCTTGGAAGCTTCACACGGGGAAGCCTGGAATGTCTTTCATACTGTCTCTTCTTTCAGTGATACTTAGTCATTCGGCAGGGAGGTCCCAATCTGCTATTGGAAACAGTCTTGATTCTGTTTCAAGGTTTGTAATTGAGTATAAATTAGATGATATTTATGCTGAACTCAACAGTCATGAATCAAGGCGACAGAATGCTGCATTATCTCTCTTAGCATCTATTGTTAGGCGAAGAATTGGCCTAGCATCCGAGGTTGCTAAAAGATTTGATTTTAAGCTCCCTATTTTTTCTAAGCTTTGTGGGGTTCACAAGAAAAGGGCTGGAAAGGATTTTAAGCCTAGCAAGAGGCTTTCAACTAGGCGAGCTTTTGTGGAATTTGCCATGTCTTTCTTAGAAGTTGGAAATCCTAGACTCTTGAGATGGATCCTTCAGCAAAGGGACATGTACTATGGGGTGCTCCGTTCCCTTGCAAGTGATGACAACGATACCATTAGTAATGTTTTATCCATCTTGCATGAAAAGCTTCTTAAAGAGGATTCACTTGTCCCACCGGGGCTTCGTAGTGTTCTTTTTGGAAGTTCCACACTGGAGCAATTGAGCATTATTTCAGGAAATCCATTAGCAGGCCCTGCAGCGGATATTGCTCATGATGTTTTGGTTGCAGTCTGCACTGATCCTCAGAATGGGCTCATGCCAGGACCAGGCTTGAAAGGCAATAAAAAACGACTTTTGGACTTTATGAAGAAGTTAAGAGCCACGGAAGCGGCACATCATAAGCAGTTACTTCTAGCCATTGTCAAAAAGGAAGGGTACCTGTGTTCAGCTTACTTAGATGAGTTCCCTTACCATCTTGAACCTCGTCCATCTTCATCCTGGTTAGTTTATTACTAAGTCTCATTGTATAAAACTAATTATTATTTTTAATTTAATTTTCTATTTCATTTTTCTTCATTATGATTTGCTTTCGTTTGTAACATATTTGCAGGTTTTCTGCCATTTCTCTTGCAGCTGAATTAATCTCCACCATAAACATTGGTTCAACTATTACTTCTAATTTATGTGATCAGCCAGGCACGGATCCACATGAGATATTGAAATGTATAATTCCACGAGCTTTTACAAGGTCAATGATAAACAAGGGGTTACTTCATTCAGATGATATTGTAAAACATGGTGCTTTGAGGCTTGTCTTAGAATTATTGAAATCATTGGATGGCTTATTGGCATCATTGGATATGTTGAGTCAACGCACTATTGTAAGACAAGAAGCTGGTTTTTGTGTGGAAAGCATGGCTAGCATGCATAATTTACCTGGCTTAAATTATATTGTGCATGTAGACGAGCACTTAAGTGACAGCGGGATTCCTTCTTTTTCTTCTGATGAAGTTATAACAAAAAATTGGGTTTCCTTGAAGCATTATATTCAGAATGAGATCCGTGCAGTACTTCCAGACCCTCAGGTTTTGTTGAAATTGCTTTCTTCATCATGTGCACAATATTCAGGCATAGGTGTAAAGAGATCTGCAAATTTTACTGGCCTTGCAACAAAAAAAATGAAATTAAATGAAGTGAGTGAGAATATTGATATTCTTATATGTGGGATGGACTCACCGCTAACCAACGATATTGCCGAAGAATCCATAAAAGTGACACCTCCTCAACTCTTGGAAGCAGAGACTGATCTTTTTTCTATGATTTATGAGATTTGGGGATTGCCTGAAAACAAATTTGATAATAAATCTAAGGATGCCAATAGTTTCTTTCAGTCAAAGTTGTTCGATGTTCTTAAAATTTATTTGGTAATTTAAGTCTCAAACATCTCTTATTGATGATTGGTCCAGTTTTAATCCAGCTATCTTATTCTAGTCACTTGGTCATTGTTTAAAAATTATAAATGAATTTTGTGGACTGCATATCAGTTTATATACTTATCTCAAGTTGTTTTGTTGTTTTATTTTTTTCATATTCTAGTTGTAGCAGTGCAAGCTACTGTTATGGTTAATGCTTGAAGGCCTTACATCTACTGTTGCTAGTTGAACGTAGTAGGCCTGCAAATGATTTATAAGTAATTTACATTTAACGCTGATCATGGATGGAGTAATTGCTCTGAATCAAGTAGAAATTTAGGAAGATTGATTGAATAATTTGAAGAATCAGATACTATGTTTTCCTACTTGATACTTTTTTTAGCGAGTTTTTTTACTATCTCATGCACGAAGCAGAAACCTTGATTTCCTACTTGATACTTTTCATAGTGACTTATTTTAATTTCGCATGCTGTATTACTTTTCTGGCTCTTAAATTTTAATTTTAATTTTTTGTGTTGAATGTTACTTGCAAGCAAATTCGATGTTTTTCTTTTGATGAAACTTTAAAAGCAATTATTAATTTGGTATTAATCATAATCACGAACAACTGATTACAAAAACTAATGATTATCTATTGCATCAGCATATACATTACTTATTGAAAACATTTCGAAATTTAAGTAGACAAGCAATTGCTGTTAAGAAAAAAACTAAAATTAATTGCAACTTAATTTCTTTGATAGAAGTGATTAATAAAATATGCATGTTTCCATTAAAAACATTTTTTTAAACGAAATCCATTTAAAGTTTATCTCAATACTTAGAATAACATGCTTAAATAAAACTTTCTTAAAAATTGCTTTATTTCTAGTGTTTTTTTATAGAAAATTATGCTATTTTTAGAAGAGAAAGATTGATCTTTCGAGATAGCAAAGCTAGAATGGTTTAGAAGATTAGATATAATGGTTGCACAACATTGTGCTAGACTTATGTTTTTATTTTTTAGTTTGAAATTTAAATACTTTTTGCAGTGGTAGAAATTATATGAAATAATCAATTTATTGAAATTAGTTCTTAATTCTTGTTTTAGATTGAATTCCATGATATTTTTTTAATTGTAAGTAGGGCTCAAGACCAATTATCGTGTGACTTCCACGCAGGAAGTTAGTGTTAGTTTAAAGAAGGCCAGAGGTTGGGCTGAATTGAGAAAGCATAACATTTTTTCATGGGCTTTTTTTAGTATATTTTGACCATAGATTAGAGTTAAAAATTGATAGCTTCCTACTTTGACCATAATGAATGTAAATAGAAATAAGTACAAAAAAGAGAGAGAAAGGAATAGACTTCTTTTCGAAGGCATGCTTTTAGGGGGGGAAAAAGAATAAGCAAGTGATACTTTTCTCCTTCATTCATTGAGGGAAGTGTAATTATAAAGCCATTTATAAGCGAAAGTAGGTAATTGAAGTTACTAGGTGTTGATTTTTTTTTAATTTTCAGATTTATTATTCTCAAATGATTTATTTCTCTTAACTTGGCGCATCTATGAAACAATTTAACGTATTTTAGCCATTTCTTCCACATTGTCAATTCTATTGTGAACTTTAAACTGGTTATTAGTTTTCAAAATTCATTTATTATTGCATTGGCTTTGTTCACATATCTCTGAGCTACATCAGTTTATGTTTACAGCGAGCAATGCCAATTGCCTTTGAAGGATCTTTTGACTTCTTCAAACTTCTACCAGCTAATCCTTCAAGCTTATCTATTGATCAGCAGCGGTCTCTATTATCTCTACTTGCTGAATCCATCAAACAATCTTCAGGAAATCGAATATCAACTGGAATGCTCTACAAGCACTTGCATCCTATGATAAATTTCATGATATTTTCTCAAGTAGAGGATATTAAAAGTCAAGCATATACTTTGGTGCGTGCAGTGATGATCACTACTGGTGCCTTTGATCAAAATCTCTCAGAAATTGATTCTTGGTTTGTTTTTTTACCTGGCTCCATTAATAATATCAATGTCGGCCAAAGCAAAGAAGTAGAAGCGCTTTTCAACCAGTCTGCAATTGTTGTTTCATTTCTCTGTGAAGCGGTTTCTACAATTGGTAACAATCTGTACAAGTATCTTGATCAGATGCGTAAGCTTCTCTCTGAAGTTGAAGTTAATGGTATGCATAGTTTTCTTGGTCATTCCAAGTTCATTTTCTATGGCACAAAATTTTCTACTTTTATTTTTTGGTGTTTGTGCCCTTCATAATTTGTGAATTTGTTTAGAGATATTCATATTTTTATTAGAAAATTCTATTAACACACTTTGTAATGATTGCAAGGCTGTTGAAACTCAAAATATTTCCTTAAAATTTTCTCAACTTTGTTTTAGATTTCCCTTGCTTTCATGATTTTGCTTTAAAATTTTCTCGTTTGTTATTTATTTATATTTTCATTTTGTTATTTAAAAATAGGGGAATTTACATACACAACACCCAATTCTTATGCATTAACCTATCTCACACCCAAACTCTAATTTTTACAAACCAAGCACCAAACTTAACTTTTTCACCACTCTCCAACAGTGAAATTCACATTTTAATCCATAGGTAGGGTACTGATTTTGTAAAAATGAGAGTTTGGGTGTGAGATAGGTAACTGCATTAGAATTGGGTGCTGTGTATGTAAATTTCCATTAAAAATATTGTAAAATATCAGGAGCATTATTCATTTTTTGACTCCCTTAAGTATGCATGCTTGTAATGCAACAAGTTGATGAGCTGTTTGAATCGAAGCATGCATCTAGAAGCTTTTAAAAGTGAGTTGCATTTTTTTGTTGTTGCAACATTATAAGCATTTACTCAGAGCACGAACAACACTTTGAGAGGTGTCATGATTTCAGTTTCTTTTTTGCATTTGAATTTGCTTGAGATTTTGGGTGTTGGTGTCTTGGCTTACTTTTTGGACACCCATTTTTTGGTGCTCATTTTATACGTTTCTTATGCATAATTGCATGTTTTTCCTTTACACAATTTTATACACTTTTGTTTGCAAGTTTGCTCAGTACCTCATTGCGACTTAAGGTTTTTACAAATTATTGAGAGGACAAGATTTCTCATATTTTGTCTGCATACATAGCTAGGTGAGTCTTAGGGGTAAGAATCCACCTTTATGAATGGGATTGTCTTGTTTGTCATTTTCATATTCTTTTTATGTGCATAATATTCTAGGTGGTAGCCTTACCTATGTTGGCGGGCTGCCAATGTTATGTAAATTATTATTTTTTTCTTTTTTATGCGTATTGTATTGTAATTTTTTTGTGATTATTGTCTTTTTATTTTTAGAATTTTCACCCACTGTTCTTGCTTAGGTTGCATTGTTTTCATCTTAAAATTACTTTTGTTTTATCTTTTTTAAGGTTAATTCCAGGTATGTTGCCCAGCCTTTCTATATTGTTTTGGTTCCATTTTTTATGGTGGTGTCTGATGATCTTTGGTTTGCTGGGGTCTCGATTAGGTGAAGAAGAATTGTAGTTAGTACTTCAGCCGAGGTTAATTTTACTAGGATAATTTTTATGATATTCATTGTACTTATTATTTAAGATATAAAATCAGTACTATTCTTGTTATTTCTTCTGAATTTATTTTTGTTCAGATAATTCCGCGTGTCTCAGTCCTTTTATCATTTGTGTACTTCAAAAGTGCCTCAGGCTGCTCTGGTCAGATTCTGAAAACTTAAAGTTACATGAGAGTTCTATGATTTCCTTATATGTGGGCAATACATTGAGCTTAATTATGCATTCTCAGGTATGAGTTTTATCACTCTACTTTGATCTCTAAATTTTGCGAGCATACTTTTGACTTGTTAGCGGCTGGCAGGTGGATATGATAGCCCTACCTAGTCTCATTTATGTGCTTCTCCATGAAATTTTTGAGAATCACTCCTCAGTAGATGGGAATCCAAGGCATTCCCTTTGTGAATGGAGGCCATTAAAGAAACTGTTTGGCTTTGCTTGTAATATTTTGGACGAACATGTCTGCATATTGCATTCTGTTTCAGGTTATAATGTTAAAAAAAGTGAAAACTCTCTCTCTTTAGTACTTGCTGAAGTGAAAGAGCTTTTAAGACACGCACAAGGGGGAAGGGTAGATGGATTGGCTACTGCCCTCACATCATCAATCTTATGTGCAGCTCATGACGATATACTGGCAATTCTTCCTTCTATTCTAGCCATTATGCATCTATGTTTCCCATCACATCTACCATTGTTGAGCTCAGTCTTTTTTCAAGAACCAAAGTTTCTTGTTCGTATCAGGGAGCTTTGGCCCAAAATGTTCTCTTCTGGTCTTGAAATGATTATCGAAAAAATTGAACATTGTTATGGAGATTTTAGGTATGTATTCTCAAGCAATGAGTCAATAATGGAAGCCAATCTTGATTCCATGGAATTCTCAACTTCTGCCTTCTGCTCCTTTTTGAAGCACTCTCCATTTTATGTGCTATTATCCTCAGTCTTGAGCTTTGCTACCTGGGAATCAGATTTAACCGGAATTCAAGAGGTTTTTCCTTTAAATAGAATGCAAGTGTTGCTTAAAGTCAAGATTTCTGAAGGCTCTATCGATGACTCTATCTTGAATCTGAAATATGTGCTGTTTTGGAGCTACCGTATTTTCTTACTGTACAAAGAGAAGCAATCCTATATTAACGGTGAACTTCTCCTAATGTGTATAACTCTTGTTCAAGATTTAATGGATCATCTCCTGGCAGTGATTTCTGACCAAGATGGTTCAAAAGTTTGCTTTCTCTCTTCAGTTGGACAGTATGCACAGATTATTGCCGAGCTCATCTTCTGCCATCCCATTGTGACCCTGTACATTGCAAATCCTTTGTATTTCAGCCGGAGATTTACAATTGAAACTTTTGGAATTTCTATAGACTCTTTTCTAACAACTTTTAAACAAAATATTCATTCAGTGGACCTATGTATGTTACAGTTGTTGAGGAAGATATTTGGGTTTTGGTTAGCTTTGAGTAGAGCTATTAGTTCATCTGAAACAATTGATTCTGTTCTGGAATCTCTTATAAGTGCTAAAAGTACTCTAGTGCAAAAGATTTTACTGTCTTTTAGAGAAAAGTTTGAGCAATTTGTTGCTAGTAAACATGCTGGACCTTTTCTCCCTACATTTTACATATTGCAGTCTTTGTTTGACTTTATTTTACTCTTTGATTTGCTGGAGTTAGTTCATTGGATGTTCGGTAAAATTGAAAGCAACATGTCAAGCGACACGTCATCATTGGAACAAGCCGTTTCTGTAAGCTTGTATATTGCAAATATTTCACTTGATAAGCTGTACAGCCTTCTACGAAACTCAACTTCGAAGCTCAAATCGGATATTTTATTGGAAGTAGGATTTAAAAGTTTTGACAGCTCCCTTGTCCCAAAAATTTTTTATAAGATTCTCAACTTTTCTTTATGTTTTCATCTAAAATTATCCGACATTTGCTTACTAAAGGCTGTGAATGTTGTATATAACCACCGATGCTTAAAACCTTTAACTGTTCTCCATCCACTGCATGTACTGCTTTCTAGCATGGTTTCTAACATTCCTGTGAAGATGCTTATGTATTACATCTATTGTAGCAGTAAGATTAAAGGAAAAGCATTGTTTCTGCTTACTGAAATCAGTTCTGTTCAGATGAACTTATTTGGAAAAATGTTTTTGGCTATTTTAGATAATAGGCCGTCTTCCTTGATTGTTTCAAATGGTGGTTTTATGCAACCTTGTAGAGATAAAAGGACCAGCAATACAAAATACTGTCTTTCAAATGATGAATTCTTGCTTCTTTTGCCAGCTGCTTTATCATATTTCATTTCTGCCTTAGAGAAGCATGGAGAGCAGAGTGTTCAGCCTTTTATGAAAATTCCCCTCGCTTACGCAAATATACTTTTGGATGGTTTCTCTAGTTGGGACGTCTTCGTTTCTCAGGAGATTTTCCAAGAAGATTATGATGAATTTTTACCCATTTCTTTGGAGGAATTTAACAAATTTTGCTGCAGCTCCCTTATTGGGAAGGCAGTTGCAATGCTCCGGTACTTTTTTGTGTTAGATGGGAGTTCAATTAGCTGGGAGAAAAGGTTAGGACTATTTGATAGTATTTGTCCTCAGTCAAGCTTTTTTGATGGACATTTTAGTTGTGGCTCTCAGGGTTTGGATGCTTGTTCATATAAGGAGTCTTTGAAGGGGATTAATAAAGTTGTTGCTAAGATATCTTTTATGAGGCTGCTCTTATTTTCTCCAGAGTGTTCGATCCAGTCTATGGCTTTCTTGGAGGAAGAAAGTGTTGAATTCAAGGTCACGGAAAAGGAATCTGGTCGATTGAATGATGCAAAACTAAGGCTTATGAACATCCTAATGAATACATTGGATCAAATTTTTAAGCAATTTCCCCTGAGGTTAGATGACTCAGTAGATGGTTGTGCCACCCACTGTTATGGAGTGTTTAGATTACTAGAGAATCTAATTTTGAAGGAAATTGTCTGGTTGTCAAAGAAGATGCATAACTATTTGATTGAAATCTCCTCCTTTTCTTTTGTGAATCGTTTCATAAGGTCATCCCTCCTTCACAGATTTGAGGATCATGTTACACTGAAAGCCATTCGTTGCATTCTTGTTTCATTGTCAGGATCAAAGTTTTCCTTTCACGATGTTCTTGAGCTTCTGATTGGTCACTCTGCTTTCGTGAAAACTATCATTTCGAATCTTGCTATCTCTGATTCCTCCATTTTTGCCTCCTGTGGGACATTGCTTCAGCCACTTTACAGTGTTCTAAAACTTGTTGATGTTTATGATGGTGTACAGAATATCTGTCATACTGAACCATCTTCTAAAGAAGGTCTTGATTGTTATTCTGTTGAAGATGTAAAACTTGAATTAGTGAGGTTGCTTAGAATATTATTTCATCTCAAGGATAGAAATACCATAACAAATTGCTTCAATTCAAGAGAATTGCTTTCTTTGCTTTTGTGCGGCTATAGTGCAACCAAAAGTCAGATTGACCTTGAGATATTTCATCTAATGCGTGAGATAGAGTCGGTTAAAAAGCAAGATAATGTGAGCATGGTAGCATTAGATTACATGTGGGGTGTTGCTGCCTTGAAAATGAGGAATGAGAAAACTCATGATGTATTATTACCATCAAACACAACATCTGCTTGTGAAACGATTGAAGAACGAAAGATTCACTTTAGAGAGAACATTCTAGTTGATTCAAAAGTGTGTGCTGTCACAGTATTGCATTTATGCAGTGATAGATCATCAAGAGTTTTAGTCTCTCTGGAAAGTCTTCTAGAAGACACATTCATTAATTTTACAAAGGTCATTTTCATAAATTATCTATTATATTTTGTTGTCCTATACTTAAGTGTGTTTTTAGTTTTCTGTCAAAATTCTTGATGCTATATCCTGTTGAATATCACAGATACCGGCATCTTCCGGGAAGGACATCATTCAACCGTATGATCCATCATTTATATTACAGTTTTCAATTCACAGTCTATCGATGGGGTACCTTGAACCTGTAGAGTTTTCTCGGCTCGGCTTACTTGCTGTTACATTTGCTAGTTTATCTTCATCCGATGAAAATATTCGAAAACTAGGGTATGAGTGCCTTGGAAGGTTCAAGATCTGTTTGGAGGTAAGCATTTGTCAAGCTATTGTACTTGAAGTAATATGATTCTTCCTGAGTGTGCTAGTTTCTTAGTAGTCTTCCGTAGATATCAGTTATGCGTCTGCAGGATTACTTTGTAAATCAGCAAGTTTGATGTTTTGGTTTCAGAATTAATTTTTAAAGCCAACTATGTTAGACTTATGCTAGTTTCTATCAACGTGAACTGCTAGAAGGCCTGCAAAGATACAAATTTTGCTTGTTAGAAAGGTAATGATATTGATGGTTCATATTGATTATTAGACGTATATATTGCATTTTTGATTAGTTAAAGTAATAATGCAATTACCATTTTATTGTTTGCACTTTCATTTTTTTTATTTCTTCTTTTTTGGTTCATAAAATCATCTTTTATTGGTAGAATGTTACTTGGACTAGTTGCGAGAAACTTCAACACCATTTTACTATAACATTTTTCTTATATTTTGCACTTTCTTGCAACCCATATATTTGGTGTACATGTCACTTCTGTGAGGGTTATAATTTGACTCCTCAGGTTCGGTGTAATAACTGACTACAACTTGTTTGGATTAAGCTGATGAGGTTGAGAATGCATGTGAGTATTTAGGTTCTGGACTTTTACTTTTAAAGAGTGAAACATTAACCGATCATGAAGTTTTAGAGAGTTTTAAATATTTGCGGCCATCAATGTGCATCCAAAGTTCTCTGGAAATGTTCTATCTAGTGGTGGGGCCGTGCTTATTTTCTCTTTTTAACTCAGCTATTTTGCTGCATGATCCTCTTTCCTCCATCTTGGGATGTTAATAGTAGAATTCAAGTTGGTTGGTTGAAGTGGAGGAATGCTTCGGGCCTTTTGTGTGATAGAAAAGTACCTCTAAGACTGAAAGGAAAATTTTATAAGATGGTGGTGAGACCTGCAATGCTCTATGGCGCTGAATGTTGGCCTTTAAAAGAGAAGCATAATAATAAGTTAAGTGTTGCCGAGATGAGAATGATTAGGTGGATGAGTGGATTTACACTTAGAGACAAAATGCGGAATGAATATATTCGTGATAGGGTTGGTGTAGCTCCTGTGATAGACAAAATTAGAGAAAGTCGTCTTAGATAATTTGGTCATATTAAACGTCGACCATTAGATGATCCGATTAGGAGAGTAGATGTTTTAAATTTAACTTGTGTTAAGAAAGGCAGAGGTAGACCTAGGAAGACTTGGGCTTATTGTATTTAAAAATGATCTTAATTTACTAGAACTAAATGAAAATATGACACTAAATAGGACGTAATGGAGAAAAAGGATTAATGTAGCCGACCCTACGTAGTGGGATTAAGGCTTTGTTGTTGTTGTTGTTGTTGTTGTATCCTCTTTCCTCCATCTAATAAACCCAGAACCAATAGCTTGTAACTCATAATATCCCCTCCATTTTATCCACCATCCCTTGTAAATTAGCTGATAAATAGTCGGGCAGGTTGTTACTTATTCCTCATCATCATTAGCCTCACTCTAACTTTTTGAGTTGGGTTTGTGAATCTTCATTTTTCATTTGTTCTTGTTGAGTATTGCTTACGGTATTGAATCTACGATTTAGAAATCATTTTCAGCAACGTCTATCAATATAAACCCAATCGTAACTCTTCTCCTTCCCAATTTCTTACATCAATTTGGTCAGCTTGTCTAATAAGCTCACTTTCTACCCTTTGCTATATATTCCCAAACAATGTGATTTTATTTTCAACTGACTTCAAGAGTTGTCATTCCATCATTCTAATATAATCATTTTTAACTATTTTCCTAGCTATCACCCCAATCATTCATCAATTTTCTTCAATAGATGTCAATCAAATCATTCCTTTATTATACTTAATACTTGTTTCTCACTTTGCAAGATTATTACTTTTCTTGTAATTATCATATGCCTCTGTAGCATTTTTTTTCGCAACTAAAAATTGCATTAATTTTCTTTATTCCCTCATTCCACTACCAATTCTTTTTATTAGATCTATTTGTTGAATCTTCTAAAATTACTAAATGACAAAAGAAGTATACATCTTATCTCAACTCAGGCTTAGCTCAACTAAAAAAATTTAATTAATGGCTAACTCCAGATTGGTAAAGATGTGATTGAATAAATTTGAGCTGGTTTTGAGGCAAGGTCAAAATTACTCAAATTTGGGTTGCTAAAAATCCCAATGGCGCATTAAGATTGAGATTATAGTCTTGAGGAATTGAAATTTTTTTTTCGAGAAGTGGAAGTTGGAAGCTGTTAATAGTTCCAAACTAGACTACACTGTGAACTACAGTCTACACGATGCATAATTTTCACCCTTTTGCTATGACTGTATGTTTCTTAAGACTTTCTATTTACATTTTATCTACATTAGAAGATGAAAATTTTTTTTTCCCTGAATTATACCTTACTGAAAACCACATGAAGGGAAATTGCAAAAACTTGCAAAAAAGAGAAACCTACATTTGTTCTTTATTATAGAAGTCTGGCGATTCTTGGTGTTGTAAATTTGATATGGTTTGTGCACACGCCAATTGCTGTTTTTGTTAAATCATCATGTGGATTATATTTTTGGTTTTTGCGTTGTTCCTTGTTCATTCTAATTCTTTTTTTTTTTTTTTTGACTTTCCTGTGTCAGAATGGTAAAAAAAGTAAGGATTTGTTGCAGCTGCTGCTTCTTTTGACGTACTTACAGAATGGCATAACAAAAGAATGGCAGGAAATTCCATCAGTTTTTGCAATATTTGCTGCAGAAGCTTCTTTCACATTATTGGACTACTCTCAGAATCATTTCATTACAACAACTAAATTCCTAATGCATTTCCCTAGGGCGAACTTGAAGGTAATTTTGCTTATTAAAGGGAATAATAAAAATCTTTGAATTTGCCCTGTTACTTTGTAGCCCTTCTTCTTATAATTACCATTTGAATCATTCTATACGAGGGCTATTTATTACGTTATGCAGATTATTCCATTATTTCACACATTGTTTGGAAGTAGTTCCGTCCATTTCAGAACAGACTGTTTATGGATCCTACGTCTATTGTACGCGGGGTTGAATTCTCCAAGTGATGCAAAGCTTTACTTAAGAAATAACGTCCTGGATGCATTATTGAGCTATTCTTCCTCCTCACTCGCTGATGATGAAGTTAAGATTCTCATCCTCATGGTAATGTGGCTTTCTCCTTCAAACTTAAACTTTTTTTTTCTCCCCAGTTTTGCATGAGATGTCTACGTTATTATTTTGTTTCGTAGATAATGAACCAAAAGTTTCTTGATTTTTTATTTTCTGCGTTCTTTGACCATGATGGAGAGCATTTATTGTATGGATTTTCTCTGAAAAAAGTTAAAAGAGTTAGAGTTGTAAAGTAAGTCTTTTGTTCCATCTGACTGTAGTTATAGATATATTTTAAGGGTTTGAGGACATCATTCAAAGAAATTGATTTTGTAGGATAAGGTACCTGAGATGCGGGAATTTATTAAATTGTTGTTCTACATATGATTTGTTCCATCTGTTTATGGATTCTACTATATTTCCCATCTCTGTCTGAGATCTAAAAGAAATAGGCTTTTTGTCCCTTGATGAGGGTTTTCATCATCTTCTCAATCAGGTTGGTCACTGTTGTTGTTATGAATGATTTTCCCAAGCTGCTTTCTTTCAAAGTTAGCTAGTCTCCATCACAATAGGAGGATTTCTCTATACATATCCTCTACGAAACGTTCTTAAATATTATTTTAGGGTTTTGGCCTTAGTGACATGATGGTTTACTCCCTTTTATGGTTTTAGCCAAAGTGGAATTTTTGTATTTAGTAAACACGGTGGAACTTTGGCAATTCTATTATTCAAAAGGATATAATAGAATCAACTCGGCACTTCTTAGTAAAATAACTTTTTGAAAATTATGCATTTTTCTTAGAACCCCTTACATTTTTATGTTCTGTTATACGCTTTATATTATTTTTGTAGAAGAAGATTTTTGACATAGCTGTACTCGCCAAGCACTAAAACGTTAGCCATGTTTCTCAAGCTTTGCTTATTGATTCTGATAATATAGTCATCTTAGCATACTGAAAACTAGATTGTATTGTTCCTTGCGGTTTCTTCAATTAATAAAGTTTTCTTTTTTGTAAATGCTTTTATATTTCCACTGCTTTGATGGCACTTTATATTCAATTTGAAAATATGAAAACCAGAACATGATGGAAATGAATTTCACACTGCAGATTGTTAAAAGATTTGTTCAATTTCATGTGGTAGCAGACTATTTAGTCAAAGAATTTGGCCTACTACCGTGGTTATCCTCACTTACATTATTCTATGGAGAGCGACTTATTGGACATCAAGAAGGACGATCTTCTGTTGATATTTTAAAGTTGATTTTGGAGGTAAAAGTGCGCTTATTACCTGATTCTTTGTGCGCTGGATAAATATTAAGCTTATTAGGCAATCATGTTAATTTTCAGTTCTTACTTTTTGTTTTGTAATCCATATCTACTGTTTATATTGTTTAGTGTTAGTGGTCTCTTTTTTGTGCTACCTATGCTTGCGCTTATAAATAATAGATCAAAGTTTATATTAAATCTATAGTATCGGAAGGACATGAAGCTTGAATATGGGAAAAACAAATAAGGGGCCTTTTGGGATCATTTTTATTTTCTATTTATTTTATTTTACATATTTTTTTTATTTGAAATAAAACATATTTAATATGTTAAAATATGTTTTATGTTTATTAATATTGAATATTAATCTATGTTTATTCAGGCAGTGACAATTTGCGGCCAACAACAACTGGTAGCAGTGATAGTTGTTTTTAAGAACACCCAAAATAATTGAAAGTTGTTTTGAATATTTTTAAAAATAATTTGATTTTTCTTGGAAGGAAAATAAAAGTATATGACATAAAAGCTAAAGACATATTAAAAAGAAAACAAAAACAAATGCAAAAAACCGAAGTGATCCCAAATAGGCCTTATGTAATATTCCAGTTTAGCCAAAACGAAAAAAAATATGACAGTTTATACGACCATGTTTTTTAAAATTGAATTATAAACATGCTGATTGTTGACCTTCAACATTCGTTTTCTCCCATTACCACCTTTGGTATTGAGCCCAAGCTCCTTCGAACTGTTCAGTGATCTTTCTGAGTCCATGAATGCTTGATATTTAACAGACGGCTTCGGCTTTCCATTGGGTGGCTGCTTTGGTCTCAATTTTATGCACCCTGTGTCATTGAAATGCTCGCATCCTGTGTCATTGAAATGCTCAAGTCCGACCTCCAATTGTCTGTTGGTGAGTTGCAAATGACTGGTGAAATGTGAAAGATTATATTATGCAATGGTTGTTTAAGCTTAAAAAAAGAAAAAAAAAGGCTGTCCAATTCACTTATTACTTATAATTGTCTCCTGATCAAAGTATTGGTAAAAAAAAAGAAAACAGTGAAAGTGCTCACATATGTGGCAGAGTTTCCAAAGTAGGTAATAATTAATATAAAGAAAAAGACAAACTATTCCTCTCTTTATTTGTGTACATATGAAAATGTGTTTGGGAGCCATAAAAAAAAGGAAGAAGAACCTATGTACGTTCAATGCTTTATGTATTGCTAACCTGCATCCACCATCTTTCTTAAACAACTATATGGCTTTGACATATCATTCTAGTGCACCGCTCATGTTTCTGTTGAGCAAAACATGAAGCTTGCAAACAATTAATATCATAGAACTCATTAGGCCACTCATTCTATAAACAAATAATGTATACTTCTATGTAATAAAATAGAGTTTGAACAATCAAATCACTAATATTGGACATCTAAAACTTTTAATTCTTGATTCTGCAATATTCGATAAATTTGATTCAATACCCTTTTCTAGCTATGAGCTTCAATACAATATGATTCTATATACTCTATGCTTTTTATTGGGAAACAAGAGTTGGATGTTTTAAATTTTGTAGAAAGGATTTTTAAGCATGCTTCTTCCTGAAACTAACACAAAATAGATCTAGTATTTCTTGCGGTTGTGTTTGTAGAAAAGATCAATGTGGATATAAATTATGGAGAAACTCTCAAGTCATGAGCTTAAAATAAAGCAGAAGGCCTGCCACAATAAAAGAGCAGGTTCCATCTATAGTTTACCATGAAAACACGATGGAGAAATCTTGTATGTTTTCTAATTCCTTATCCGTCAACTCAAGGCTCATGTTCATGAAAAGTCAGCATGTGAACTCCAACTAAATAAAAATGCTTAATTAGGTAACTCTATGTCCGCTAACATGCATAGTTTTTGTCACATCTTAAATTTCTTATAATTTCATCTTTATAAAGGCCATCTTGGGTACTCACGACATGATGCCGGTTGAATATATATGAAACTATGTTCTGAACATTTTGAATAATTATGACTTGCACATGTAATCCTCACTCGAATTTTAGTTTTTTTGGAGTGTCGTAAATCCCTAAAAGTAATAGATATTTTTATGCAAAAGCATTCATCACCTCTAGTTTAGCTAGAATGTGATGGTTCAGCTTAAAATGAAAAACGGCCTCATATGTGAGTCTTTGTTCGGAGTCAACTTATGGCTAGTAAATTCTTTTGACCAAATTGAAAGTTGATTTTAGCAAGACTAAATGACATACCAAATTGCTCTTGGCTATAAAATTATGATTCTAACATTCTGAATGTAATGAATTATCGGAATGCCCGGAAGGATTTAAGCTAAATACAAATAAAGCCTCTCTGGTGGATTAGATAGATTTGCACTATTGATCCATTGTTGACCTTATGGCTCTGACGAATCATCTTAACATGCATGTTAAACTATGTACTACATTAAAAATTATAAATTCAACCAATTAGGCTACCTTGCTTATAAAGCAAGGTTATAAGAATCACTATGGGTCGTTTCCAATATATGAGTAGTAAGTCCCCATATGCAGGCATGCTGAAAGCCAAGATTGGAAGCCCTAATCTTCTGGGTAGCTTGTAAATAGATAAATAAGTTCAATGTTGTAATAAATGACATTTTAAATAAATAAATAAAATAATAATAATAAATACAATAAGTTAGGTGTCGGTTAGAGGAGACGCACCCCCTCGTATTTGAGAGGCAAAGTTGAAGCTCTTATCTTGAAGCCGAAGAGGAAGTTGAGTTAGGGTTTTATTAGGTGATTTAATGAATTTTTAATTGTGTGCGCAAGTGTATTTTATTAATGTTAAGAGAGTTTGATTGAATCAGAACTCATGATATATAAATGATAAGCTGGAGGGTGATTGGTCCAAGAAACTGATAAGGTAATTCTTAATGTTATTATTGTTATTAAGATAAATGATATAATTAGTTAAATTAATGCTGTTAAATTTTATTCAATTAGGAAGTGTGTGGAAGAAAGGTATTTATTTTGAGATTGGTAAAAGATTGATGATATAGTGGAGTGGAGGAATAAACTTTACAAAGGTCACTTAAAGATGAAGTGGTTAATTATTAAGATTTTATTAAATAAAGAACTGAATTATTGCTTCATAGAGTTCCTTTTATAATCAGAGGTTTGTTGTGACTTAAGAATTACTGATAAATCAAGTGACAATAAAAAAGGAAAATTAGTGGTTTCATTGACCTTAAATGGATGTAATTAAAAGAAATGAAATGTAAAACTTAAGTCAAACGGGATTACTCTCAAATGGTGTTGATAGGGAATGCAATGTTCTCTTGCACAAAAAAATAAATGTAAATGATAAAGGTATACTTCAGGTGCAAATTTTTGAGGTTACCAATGAGTACAATTTTGAGGATATATTCGGGCATGACGATAATCTTGATATGACCCTTCTCATTTCAATTTAAGTATTTGCACTTTTTAACATCTTAAATTCGGTGGATGTTGAGAACTGAGTGTTAAAAATGGAGAAGATTTTAGATGCTTTGTCTTGTCCTCTAGAGAGAAGGGTTATACTGGGCACTTTTGCCTTAGTGAGATATGCAGAGAGATGGTGGCGAGGACAGTTGTAGGAAAAATTTAGGGTAGAGCCAACCACCTGATTTAGTGGGATAGTTCGTGAATATTTTTAGAGACTAGTTCATAACACTTTGAGCTAGAATGCAAATGCTTGATAAATTCATTAGGCTGATGCGGTGAGATCGATTTATTATGTAATATGAAGCTGAATTCACTATGTCATCAAATTATGCATCCCAATTGATTCTAATGCAGAGGAGAAATTTCACATGTTTTTGTTTGGGCTGAAGGATATGACTAGGCAACCACTAATTCCATCTTGGGATAGATGGTTGTTCTATTTGAGTGGAGAGGTTCTATTTGAGTGGAGAGGGCCTGTACGATTGAGGTGGATTTGGAAGCTAATTAGAGGAGGGACTTTCATAAGAGGAGAAATTTTGAGGGATCCATATTTCCTTGGGGCTCTCACGGAAGTCAGTCTTTTCAGTCATGAAATACAGTTCCTAAGAATGCCAAATCCAGCAGTTTTGATAGCTGGATTAAAGTCAAAAAGTGTGACATGGGAGGTCTCATAAAGATGAGTGTCTTTATGGATCCAAAAAAGTTATTTTTGGTGCCAACATCAGAGTAAAAAATAATTTATCCTACTGCATCATATGAATTGGGTGCTACAAATGTAAAAAGCAAATGAAATTTTTATTTTGGCGAATATATATATATATTGAAAAAGCCCAAGGGATAATATATTAAAAAAGAAAATGTACAGATAGGTTGTATTTGAGGACCCAAAAAAGACACCATACCCACACAATACAACACACACAAAGGTCCCAAAAAGAAAAAATACATGTAAACTCATGGGCTTCGGAACGACCCAATTTAGTCCTGCCTCTGCCTCTAGTTCTAGGAAGAGAGCCAACAAACAAATTGTTGAGTTTTGTGCCATTACCCGAAGTAACCAATGTTTCATCAATTAAATTTTTGAGCTCGAGTAGGCCTCCATTCTTCTTCTTCTTCCTTCTGGGTGCGTAAACCTGTCATTCCTCATTCGAAGACTGGCTTATCTAATCAGTGTGTTGGTCGACAGATTGTTGGACACGTGTAAGCTAATAGCCCCTTGCGCCCGACTAACAGTAACAACTTGCTCGTTCTGATGAGGTGGTAGAGCCACAGTAGAGTGATTGCCAACCGTTGCAACAATAATAGGTTCTAGGGTATGTATATATGTGTATGTATATATATATATATATATACATACACATATATACATACCCTAGAACCTATTATTGTTGCAACGGTTGGCAATCACTCTACTGTGGCTCTACCACCTCATCAGAACGAGCAAGTTGTTACTGTTAGTCGACCTCTGCTACGATATCTTTCGCTCCTCTGTTTTCGTAGAGCTTCGTCGAGCTGCTCCCGTACGCTGCCCCGATCGCATCTCATCTTGGGCTTCGACCTGATCGCGACTGTTCCGTCTTCGTCCTCTTTGTAGAGTTTCTTTCTCTTGTTCCGTCCGTTTGTGTTCCTGTAATCGTTCTCTCACAGAGTTTGCTTCGACCCGACGCGCGTCCCTACGCATCTGGTCGTGACCGTCAGCTCCATTGGTCCGTCTGGTTTCTTTCTTTGCATCTGCGGGCTGAAGGATCGTAGTTATGGTGCTTCCTTCTTCGTCGGTTGATCCTGCCAAAGCTTCTTTCGCCCACGTCGTGGGTAATCATCTTGCGGAATCTACTGTTGTTTTCTCCTTAAGCTAAAAAGAATGTCGTGATGATACGAGTGACTGACCTTTTTTTAAGAAGATAAGTAGGAAGAGTGGTAAAGCAACATTTTTTTTCTCTGATTCAGAAATTTCAACCATAGCTGAGAAATTCAAGTTTGCTCTTATTGAAAAATTTCAGTGGGAGCACCCACCTATGTAAGTTATCAGAAAGA